AAAGTCCTCATATTCTCAGAGTTTAACTTCATATTTAAATCTCGCGTGCCACTTAAGTTTGATAATTGGGGTATACATACCACTTAAGTTTGAATAGGGCGTCGGGTACCACTAAATTCTATTATATGTGCACCCAGTACCACTTAAGTTTACTGCTAAGTGCATTCCATTAAAGTTGACAGAATATTTTTAGAATATTCCGTTTTCTTAATTTCATAATTGGTCCTTCTACTTTTCTTATTGTAAAAAAAATCATTTGGACTTATAAAAAACATCATTTTTTATTGTTTAGTTAGAATCCTCTTTTGAATACTTGATATCAAACCAATTTTTGAATAGAAAATTTAGAATCAATTATCATTAAAATTATATTCAATTATCATTATAATTATTTTCGATTATCATTATGTGTTCTAATAATTGAATTATTCTATGATTGTTGTAACTAAACAATGTTGTAGTTTTTATAGTCATATTTTCTTTTCTAATTTTTTACCGAATGGAGTAGCTTTTATATTTTATTTATTATTTGATTACTTTCCATCTCTTTTCTTTCTAAATTTTCTAAACTAGTGGAATATGTTTAATTCTTTTTTATTGTGATCCATTTATCCTTCTTTGATTGTGATGATGTATTAATGATCGATTAGATTCTATTTTAACTATTTTTAATGGTGCTTCTAATTGAATTAGGGGTTTAAATAGATATTATAATATTTATTTGAAATATTTAATATTATATTCTAGTATATTTATTATTCTTCTTAATATTCATTTATTATTTTTACTAATATAAATATTTTATTGACAAATTTTGAATAGTCATTCTATCAATAATACATTTAGAAGATTTTTTAATTATTATATTAGATAAAACTTGTTGAAATATGATTTTAAATGTTTTTAAAAGTTTTGGGTATCAAAAAGTAATGAAAAGTTTGAGTGGGATGGAAAGTAGACGGATGCACATTTTGGCGACATTAATGGTACTCGACGCCCTATTCTAACTTAAGTGGTATGTCTACCCCAATTCTCAAACTTTAGTGGCACACGAGGTATTTTACTCTATATTTTGTATTCAAAAAGATACAACAAATTTAGGGTTAATATTTTCGTATGGCCTGAATTTTGACCAAAATAAACATCCTGGCCAATCTTTTCGATCTATAACATTCTGGCCCGAACTATACACCAAAATAAACAATTTGGCGAAACCCGATGTTTGACCGTTAACTTGGACGGTCAAACGCGTTGACTAACAGTCAACGCGCCATGTCACTGCCACGTCACTGCCAAGTCAGAAGATCTGATAAATATTTAATTTGTTTCGTTTTTTATTTTTGTTTTAACTAAGGTATTTAATGATTTTTTTTAATTTATAATAATTTAAAATTAGAGAATGTGTGAAAATTGTGAATTATTTTAAATATTTTATGCTGACTTGGCAGTGACATGGTGCGTTGACTAACGGTCAACGCATTTGACCGTCCAAGTTAACGGTCAAAAGTCGGATTTGGCAAAATTGTTTATTTTGGTGTATAGTTCGGGCCAGGATATTATAGATCGAAAAGATTGGCAAGGATGTTTATTTTGGTCAAAGTTCAGGCCATACGAAAATATTAACCCACAAATTTATATAGTGTAATTAGTTGTGATTGTTGTCTTTATTTGAAGAAACTTGGGTTCAAATCCTGATACTAACATTTTTATATGAAATAAATAATTAATTGTAAAGACCAAATTGTCCTTCCTACATTCAGTCTCATTGCAGGAAATTTGAAATGGAGAAAAGTAGACAAAACTCTACTATATATTATTGGAGGATTACAGCATAACTCATTACTTGTTCATTAATTAGCAAAAAATAATTAAATTATTGGTTTCATTCATGACACTATCATTTCACAACAGCTCCTTAGGTATTATCACGATATTGTGGTGTAAACAATGAATGTATTTTACATTTCTCTCATAATATGAAAACTTTCTGGTTATTTATGAAACAATAATTGTATTAGTCAGTTTTTTGTTTTCTCTGTGAATGAATTATTTAGATATTAAATTATATTTATAAAATATTATATATATTCTGAATAAAGGACAGAGGTAGTTTGAAATCCTGACTCCGCCACTGTTTGCGTATGTGTTTGTTCACCCTACTTAGTAGTTTTTTTTGGTAGAAACCGTACTTGGCAGTTAGGACAACCTTGCATTGCATCACACGAAGTAATAAAATGTCTGGCCACAAGGCGAGTTTTTTTTTTTTTTTTTCGCCATTCAATACCCCAAGATCGGGGAATGAAAAACATACATTGGTTGAAAATTGGCTGAGGCTGCTTTGCTTTCCCTCATGGTAGATGGCTGAAGTGGTCAAGTGGATATCTTGGTTGAGGGCTTTACCCGTTAGTTTCACGTGGACTATTTTTGTTGCACTGTCCGAAAGTAAGGCCCATTATTTTGACGAATGGGCTAAGCCCAACATGAGATGGGAGGAGGTGACGGACTAAACTTTATACGGTGGCAGAGGTTGTCGTTTGGCATCTGCTAGAGAGCGAGCACCGAGCAGGCGTTATCCAATATCCATTCCCTTCATCTTCCGAAACTCACTCTAGCGAGCCAAAGAACTGCAAAGAGGAGGAGGAAGAAGAAGAAGAAGAAGAAGCAGCAGTGGCTGGCCAGCAGCATTACGACAGAGGGAAAAATGGCAGCCACAGCTGCACTTCAAGCCTCCATGGCTGCTCTTTCGATATCCTCAAGCTCTTTCTTCGGGGACCGCCTCTCGTTTCCTTGTACCTTCTCCCCTTTAAACGTACGCCTTTTATCCCCCTTCTTCCAAACAAATTTCTCAGCTTTTGTGTTGGCTTCTTGTCGTTCCTCAATTCGTTCGTGTACCCATCTGAAATTTCACTGCTAGTGCTTGGTCCTTCATTTGCTATGCGGCAATTCAGCAGGATGGGTGAACTGTTTCAGTTTCTTGTACTGTGTGTTTCCGGTCCAAGCCTCTGAAAGCAATTTGCCCTTGTCATTTCTTCAATCAAATTGTCCAATTTCCAATATGGAATGTGGTTTGACGATGATCTGTCTGCTCCATGTTCCCGCGCAGGTCAAGTCGCCGGATAAGCCATGTCTCATTGTTGTAAAGGTAGCGCTCTCTCAAGTCTCAATCATAACGAGCTCTACTGATTTTGCTATTAGTGAGTCAGTTGAACTATAGAATTATGTGTCCCCATCATAAAGAAATCACTGAATAAAAGGAGAAGACTTGCGAAATTGACATTATCTGTTGAACAACAGGAGTTTGTATTAGCTGTGACTAAGGGGAGATAGAGAAACATGATCAATTTACGACCCTCCTGTTTTCAACCTGAGCGAGAGCAACCCATGTTTTGATTGATAGTTGTTTGCCTGTCTCTTGCTTACTTTACTTATAGCTAAAACGATGGGAGCGGAAGGAGTGCAAGCCAAACAGCCTTCCCATCTTACATAAGATGCATGTCAAGGTGGGAGATACGGTGAAAGTGATAGCTGGAGATGATAAAGGCAAAGTTGGAGAAATTAAAAAGATCTTCAGGCACAACAGCACTGTGGTCGTGAACGATATCAACTTGAAGACCAAGCATATGAAGAGCAGAGAACAGGATGAACCTGGCCAGATCATTAAGGTGACTCCACCATCTTATGTTTGGTGGGAAAATCTATGGTTATTACATCCTCGGTGGATACTGTAGACGCAGCATACATAGGTTACATTTATCTCTTCATGAATGCTACAAAACTGGCTTGGATGCATAATTTGTTTCATATGTAAGATCGAGTCTTTGTTCTCTCTTGAACTGAAACAATATTTATGGACATCAGTAGCAAAATACCTCTGCAGTTTGCTGTTAAGCTTGCTTTCTTCCTTTCTGTTTGCTTGAATTAGGTGCATATCTTGGACTTCTAGTTTGGCAGAAGCTCATGCCTTGTGCAAAGAGGATGTTTTTTTTCTTCTTCTTTTTCCTTTCCATATCCTGCTTTCTTTGAGACCCAACTTGACCTCCATCGTCGCATATTCCAGATTGAAGCACCCATCCACAGCTCAAACGTAATGCTGTACTCAAAAGAGAAGAATGTGGCGAGCCGTGTGGGTCACAAAGTGCTGGAAGACGGGACGCGAGTCCGGTACTTGATTAAGACAGGTGAGATAATCGATACTGCGGAAAATTGGAAGAAACTGAAGGAAGCGAGCGAGACACCTGAAGCAGCTGCGGCTGCTTGATGGCATAATTGACATTTGGTGGTTTTCTTTTAAGGCATGGTCTTGTGTCTCCATTTCCTGTCTGTTGTAGTCATTTTTTGGTGCAAGTCCTTCATTGATCTGTGAAAATTCATGAAAAGTGAATGGGGTCTGAGGATTCAAACACTACATATATGTAACTTGTATCATCTGAGTCATTTTTCGCCCTTTTTTGAGTTCTTTCTGTCGGCGCATTTTAGGTGCTTGGCAGAGGCTGATAATGTATTGGTAGGAAGAAGGAACCACCACAAACAATAATGGGTGCTTTGCAAATGTGGTATTGTGTAGCAAAAATGAGTTGTTTGAGTCAGAATAACTCATTACAACTAGGGATGTCAGTCGGTCGGTTTCGGTTTAACCGATAATCAATTTTTCGGTTATCGGTTAAACCGAGCCGCCCCCTATAGCTGCCGCCCACCGACCGTGAAAGGAGCCACGGTTAGCCGACCATCGACTGGACGGTTTTTGGTTTTGGTTCGGTTTAACCGTGGTAACCGCTAGGCCATCTGTTTCCTCCCATTCTCGATGCTTCCCTGTTCCCATCTCCTGCTACTACTCTTTCCTCTCCCCAAAAAATTATTCATCCTACCTCTCCATTCCCGATCTCGTCCCTTTCAGCTACAAAGTTGGTTTTCCTTTTGATTTTGACTATTTTTCCCCCGTTTGTTTCCTGAGAAAAACAAAATCCGATTCAAATCTTACTTACTCTGTTTCCACTCTGTGCGATCGGATTATAGCTCTATAGTGGGGATCTGAAGAAGCGAATCGGGATCACGTCGGGGATATGCTTGTTGATCCAGCACAAGCCAGAGATGAAAGGGGACCGCTACGAGGCCATCTACAGTTTCTACTTCGGCGATTACAACAACATCACCGTCCAGGGGCCGTACCTCACCTACGAGGACAACTTCCTGGCCGTGACCGGCGACTCGGAGATTTTCGAAGGGGCGTACGACCAGGTGAAGTTGCAGTCGCTGATCTTCCCTTTCAAGCTCTTCTACACTTTCTATCTCAAATCTCAAGGGGACGGAAGTTGGGCGAAGGCGGAGGCTCGCCTGCTCTGCTAGTCGACGACGACGAATGCAAAGGCGGAGGAGGTTCGCAGGCGAACTGGGTGGAGTCTGAGGTGAGGCGCGGCGTGGGATCGGGGAGATGTGGGAGGGAAGGGTCGTCGAATTAGGTTATTCGATTTGGGGGTGATGGATTTTCTACGGCTTTGGGATGGAGAGAAGGGGATTTTCGGTGAGGGTCGGTTAGCCGGTTAGCCGCGGTTAATTATGTCCGGTTATTCGGCTAGCTGGAGCCCTCTGATACGCATCCGAACACCGACCGAGGTCGATTTTTTCCGGTTTTCGATTAGTCGGTTACTGTCGGTTTTCGGTTATAACCGACGGCTAACCGCTAACCGGCAACCGATTTGCCAGCCCTAGATAGGATTATATAACTGACTCATCAATAGGCTTAAGTGCCCTTCTTTCAAAATGGGGCCATAATGGATCCATCTATGGCGGCCCAGCTGAGTGACAGAAGCAAGAAACAACATATACTGGTGAATAGGCTTAAGTGTTTTTTTTTTCACAATCGGGCCCATCATGGATGTCATGTTTTGCCTTTATATATTTGGGAGATTCTTCATCATAGGGTCATCAAAATTGCCGTCTGTCGGATTCTGAGTATTGCCTGATCGCAACATTCTTAGCTTTGAGCAGGAAAACAACGCCAATCGAACGATCCAATCTCATTTTCTTCTCTCCAATCAAACTGCATCCAGCTGCAGCTCCGTTTGAATTCCCCTATCCAATATAAACTCTGTATATTCTGGAATTCGGCGTAGTCGGTTCCCGGCCATGTCGAGGCGGAGCCAGGGAAGTGGGTAGTATAGCTTGCAGGGAGCTCGACGATCTAGGGGCTGGAAAGGAAGGATGGCTGGTTGACAATCCCAACCTTCTCTGCCCACTCTATACGCAATCGCTTGCCCTCGCCAAAAAGTTTCTCGTCGCGATTGCAGGATGGGACGGTGGGCCCGGTTTCAAGATCCGTCCGAAGCTGTCCCCGATCGAGTCGGAGCACATCACTGCGCTCGAGTGGTTGGTTTTCGACGAGGTTCGAGCCGTTGCAGTGGGAACTTCTCGCGGGTACTTGCTGGTTTATACATTGGATGGGCAGTTGATTCATAGACAGGTTGGTGAGCCTTTTGCAAATTGTTCTGATCTTCTTCCAGTACAACATTTGTTGGAAGCAGAAGTTGAGTTCAAGTTTGGGTCGTTTCAGAGTCGAGTGTCGTCGTTTCGGTTAAGTCAAGACCAGTTGGTAAAGTGATGTCGTTAGTTTACTTTATTCTGCAGATTAGTTAGCTTGGGTCTCAAGTAGTTGAGTCTGTTAGTTGGTTAGAGATTCCAGGTTTGTTAGAGAGTTTACAATAGAGAAAACAGAAAATGGGGTCGTGGGATCGTGATAAGCTGAGTCAAGGGTTTAGAGATTGTATTTAAACTCAATTTCATTATCAATAAAGCTGTCAGGTTGCCCCGACATTGCTTTCATAGTGGTATCAGAGCATTGGCTTACTATAACCAGTATTTGTGCAAAGAGTGATTTGTTGAAGAGTGCAAGTCTGAAACTCAGTCTGGGTTTGGGAAACACGAGAGATCTGGTGAGGTTATTGTTGTGGGGTGAGAGAAACACGAGTGTGAGTTAGGTGCAGATCTGAAAATGAGTGAAACATCAGGATTTGCACAGGTGAGTGTTCCACGTTTTGATGGCGACTATGACCATTGGAGCTTACTCATGGAGAATCTCCTGCGGTCAAAAGAATTCTTGGGAGTGGTCTCACAAGGCTTCAATGAGCCCACACCAGAAGAGGCTGAAAAATTGACACCTACTCAGGTCAAGGAGCTGGATAATCTCAGGTTGAGAGATCTCAATGCAAAGAACTACCTTTTTATTTCCATCGACAAAGCAATACTGAAAACCATTGCTCACAAGGCAACATCCAAAGAGCTTTGGGATTCGATGAAGATGAAATATCAAGGTAGTGCAAGGGTAAAGAGTGCTCAATTGCAGACGCTGAGAAGAGAGTTTGAAGTCCTGGAGATGAAGACTGGAGAAAGTGTCAATGACTACATTGGAAGAGTCACAACAGTGACGAATGCAATGAGGAACTGTGGAGAAGAGATGGAAGAGGTGAAGGTTGTTGAAAATATCATGAGGACGTTAACTGAAAGATTCAACTATGTTGTTTGCTCCATTAAGGAATCAAAGGACATAGATACTCTTTCTGTTGATGCTCTTCAGGCTTCCTTACTGGTTCATGAACAAAAGTTCACAAAAAGGGTAGATTCTGAAGATCAAGCACTGAAGGTTGGCTTTGAAACTAGAGGAAGAAGTGGTAGAGGTATGCCAAGAGGAGGTTATCGTGGTAGAGGAAGAGGAAGAGGAGGAAGAACTTGGAATCGAGAAACCATTGAGTGTTTTTACTATCACAGGCTAGGACACTTCAAAGCTGAGTGTCCTGAACTGTATGGCCAGCAAACTCATTTCACAAACACAACTGTTGGTCAAGGTAACAACTATCCTGACATGAATGAAGAGCTGTTGCTAATGGCTTTTACTGAAGAAGAAGAAGCAGAAGAAAGGGAGGTTCAAACTGAGTTGCAGATGACTGTGATGGATGACTTAAGAACTCAAACTGAAGGCTGGTGGTTCCTGGACTCAGGGTGCAGCAACCACATGACAGGCGACAAAAGATGGTTTACAAGTATTGATAGCAGTTTTATTTCTACAGTAAAACCGGGGAATGGCACCAAGCTAGATGTGAAAGGAAAAGGTACTATACAACTGAAAATGGAACATCTTTCACTAGCTGTTCAAGATGTATTCTATTTCCCGGGATTAAGTCAAATCTGGTAAGCATAGGCCAGATGCAGGAAAGAGGTATAACCTTTCTAATTAAGGAAGGAGTCTGCAAGCTTTTTCATGAAGAAAATGGCCTCTTGTTACAGACAGCCATGAAGACCAATAGGCTGTTTGTATTACAATGTGCCATAGCATCAGTAGCTGAGAATGAATGCTTGTACACAGCTGGAGATGATAAACTGAAGCTGTGGCATCGAAGGTTTGGCCATCTAAATCACAAAGGTCTTCTGGAGCTGCAAAAGAAGGGAGGAGTTCGTGGAATACCAGGACTTAAGGGGTCACCTGAAATCTGCAACACATGCTTACTTGGCAAACAACACAAGATTCCATTCCCAAAGAAAAGTCAGTGGAAAGCTAACAAAAGCTGCAACTTATTCACTCTGATTTGCGTGGTCCTATCACTCCAATGTCAAGTAGCAAAAACAGGTATCTCTTCACACTAATAGATGATTTCAACAGGAAACTATGAGTCTACTTTCTAGCTGAAAAATTTGAAACATTCAGTGTCTTTAAAACTTTTAAGGCACAAGTAGAGAAGGAAACAAATACATCTATAGTGTGTTTGAGAACTGATAGAGGTGGTGAATTCATGCTTGGAGACTTTAAAGATTTTTGTGATAAGGAAGGAATAAGGAGGCATATTGTTTGGAGTTTCAGCAGAGTCAAAAGCATACAGGCTATTTGATCAAGAAACCAAGAAGATCATAGTGAGCAGGGATGTGATCTTTGATGAAGCACAACCAGGATGGGTCTGGAATTCAGAAGTTACTCCGGTTCTAACAAAAATCATATGGGAAGGGAGTAATGTTGAATTCTGCAGTTCTGATGATGAAGAAGAACTAGAAGCCACAGAATCCGAATCTGCAGATTCTGATGCTGCAGAAACTCCAGACAACTCTGATCACAATGATGCACCAGCAACACCACAAACTGATAGTCACCAGCAGACATCTTCCACTAATGAAAATGATGAAGAAAAGAAGATACAACAGATGTCTTGGGACTTCCAGCGGGTGGTTTGACTCCTAGAGTTCCAAAACTGCCTGCACGATTCAATGATTTTGAGATGGGTCGTGTGCAGGTGGACTAGACAGCTATGATAGCTATTTCCGAAGATCCTCAGACCTTTGAGGAAGCAGTAAAGGAAGAAAAATGGAGAAAGGCAATGACGCAGGAGATGGTGGAAATCGAGAAGAATGGAACCTGGTTTCTGACAGTCCTGCCACTTGGGGTAACACCTATTGGAGTAAAGTGGGTGTTCAGAACTAAGCTCAATGAGCTTGGGAAAAATGACAAATTTAAAGCAAGGCTGGTAGCAAAGGCCTATTCTCAGAAGGAGGGCATTGATTATATAGAAGTGTTTGCCCCAGTGGCAAGATGGGACACAATAAGGGCCTTTCTGGCTCTAGCTTCTTTCCATGGTTTGACAGTCTATCAATTAGACGTCAAAAGTGCATTTCTTCATGGAGACTTAGAAGAGGATGTTTACATCTGCCAGCCTGAAGGATTTGTGGTGCCAGGGGAGGAAGAAAAGGTTTACAAGCTAAACAAGGCACCGTATGGGTTGAAACAGGCACCCAGAGCTTGGTACAGCAAGATAGAAAGTTACTTTCTGCAGAATGGCTTTGAAAGATGCACTTATGAACACACCTTGTTCATAAAAAGAAGGGGAGCAGATCTGTTATTGGTAAGCATTTATGTTGATGATGTAATGTACACCAGCAACAGTGAATCTATGCTTGCAGAATTCAAGGCCTCCATGAAGGATCAGTTTGAGATGACTGACTTGGGTAAAATGAGGTATTTTTTGGGAGTTGAGGTGATTCGAAACGAGGATGGTATCTTCCTGTGTCAGCAAAAATATGCTAGGGAGATTCTGGAAAGGTTCAAGCTCCTAGAGTGCAACTTCTGCAAAAATCCAATAGTTCCTGGAACTAAGTTGTCAATCAAGGGAGATGAAGTTCCTTGCCAATGCCACTCACTACAAGCAATTGATTGGGAGCCTCCAGTATATCACAGCTACAACCAGACAGCACATGCTGGCTTCCAAAAGAATCCTAAGATACTTAAAAGGAACAATAGGATTTGGCATATGGTATAAGAAGAAAGGAAGTGAAAGCAGGCTGATTGGATACACAGATAGTGACTACGCTGGTGTTGTGGATCACAGAAGGAGTACAAGTGGGTTTGTCTTCTTTCTTGCAGGTGGAGCTGTGTCTTGGACCTCTAAGAAGTAGCCAGTGGTGACACTATCCACCAGTGAGGCCGAGTTTGTAGCAGCAGCAGGATGTGCAGCTCAATGTCTATGGCTGAGAAGAATTCTAGAACAAATGGGATGGAAGTCTAGTGTGGAAAAAGGAACAACCATCTTCTGTGACAGTAGCTCTGCAATCAAGCTACCCAAAAATCCAGTTCTACTGGCAGAAGTAAGAGGTCGTTTGCTTTTGGTATTTTGGTGTTGGATTTTGGCCCAAAATCCAACATATGTTGGACTTTATAATGAATCCATGTTTGTTAGCATATAATGGATTTTGTTTCAATCTGTGGGGTCCACTAATATTGGATTATTTGGAGCTAAAATCCGTGGGCCCCATGGATTATAAAATCTTACCTCTATAGCTAGGATTTTGGAAGATAGA